TTTTATTTTTTTGTTAATCCTCACCCAAGGTTATATTTTTTACATTGATTTTTAGACAGAGTGGAAAGGAAGGGGAGAGACAGAAAGAGAGAAACATCGATGTGCGATATATCAATTGGTTGTCTCCTGCAGTCCTCCAATGGAGGTGGGGATTGAGCCTGCAACCAAGGTATGTGCTCTTGACCAGAATTGAACCTGGGACCTTTCAGTCTTAGGGCCAATGCTCCAACCACTGAGCAAAAACAGCCAGGGCCTTAGTATTCCTTTCTTAACTCGTTTAATGGATCATGATCTTTGGGGTCTGAGTCTGAAGAGAGGCTTCCCTTTTGTTCGCTGACAGCTCTGGCAGATGCACCTGCATTTTATTCCATTTGTGTGGAAAGGATGGCTGAATTTTAACCCAGGCATTAAAGAAGCAGAGAGAATGTTCCATGGTGGGCTAATCTATACTTCTCTCTTACTGGCCTTTTTCCAAACTTCACATTTTTAGATTTCAAAGTACCTTGTTAATTGTTCATGCTGATAGCATTGCCAGCAGTTCTGCCCCATGGGAGCCTGAGTGCTGGATTAGAAGTGAAATCAATGAAGGGCCAGCGATAATGTGATTGCTAGTGGTAAATCACAAAGCTGCAGTTTTGTGTTTTTCCCCCCCAAATTTATTTATTATTATTATTATTTTCATGAACTGCAGTTGAATGAGAGAGTTAAGGTTTTGCACCTGGGACTGCTGAGTTAGGACAGGATTTTGAACCCTGAACTGTGGCATAGGCCTGCACATATGCTTTCTATGGAGGTAGCTTTTGCATGCATTTTTTTCTTGGATGAAACCTTATTTAACAAATAAAGAAACTGAGGCTTACTGATTTGACATAACCATAAAGAAACACCCCCCGCCCCACTAGATAAAACTGCCCCAGGGAATTCCTGTTACTTTACTCTTTGCTTCTCCTTGCCTTGTGGAAGGTAACCACTATTAGAATTTTCAGGCGCCAGCCCTAACCAGTTTGGCTTAGTGGATAGAGCATTGGCCTGTGGACTGAAGGGTCCCAGGTTTGATTGTGGTCAAGGGCATGTACCTTGGTTGCAGGCTCGATCCCCAGTAGGGGGCATGCTGGAGGCAGCTGGTTGATGTTTCTAACTCTCTATCCCTCTTCCTTCCTCTCTGTAAAATCAATAAATAAATAAAAATTAAAAAAAAAAAGAATTTTCAGGCGCCAGCCTGGTTGGCTAACCTAATGGAGTAAAATAGTTCCAGCTCCAAGTAATGGTGAACTTGGAGGATGGCCCAGTGTAACCAAGTCCCTGGAGTAAAAATTTGATGTTGGTCTTTATTCATTTCAAAGAAGAATGTGGGTGGAAATATGATATATTCCAAGCAAAAAAATAAATAAATAAAAATAGTGGCTCTAGGGATTTATGCCATTGCCTTGAAGATTGTTTGGTTCTGCATTAATTTTAGATAATTCAGTAAGAGAAAAGTTTTCCTTAGTAGACGGCATTTTTAGCCAGAAATGTATAACTTGAGTCTACTCATGAGGACACATCAGACAGACCCAAAAAGCACATTCTATTTTTTTAAATTTATTATTATTAAAGAAGTAGTCTATGTTTTAAAAACAAAGTCAATGTCAAGAAAGACAAAAGCTGTGGAAATGTTCCAGATCCAAGGAGACTGCAGAGACTTAACAGCTAAATACAAAGCCTGATCCTAGACTGGATCCCGTATTAGAAGGGAAAAAGTGCTGTGATTGACAAAATTAGGATGTGGATGGCAAATCATAGCTAAAAGTACCAGTGTTAAATCTATTGAAGATTAAAATTATATGGCTGTTATGTTTTTAAAAACTATGGTTTTGTAGGAAATATATATTGAAGTATTTAGAGGTAAAGGGCCATAACATCACAATGCAATTTAAAGCAGTCTAGAAAAAAAGGGAAAAAGAGAACGAAAATGATAAAAAAATAGTGTAAAATTTTGACAATAGGCAAATATGAATAAAGGATACTATTTGTAGTCTTACATCTTTTTTTGTGAGTTTAAAATTATATTATTGCTATTATAACAAATGACCACAAACTTAGTGGTTTAAAACTACACAGATTTATTATCTTACTACCTAGAAAAAGGAAGCTCTAGAACTTTTCTTTCCTTACCCTTTGGGAGCCTACCACTTTAGTCAACTTGAGTTCACTTGCAATACTGCACAACAAAACAACACAAAAGAGCAGGGAAAGGAATAGATGGGATATCTAAAAGCCACATAATCTGTAGTCTTTTGGGGAATCCGAGTCTTAAGAATTCAAACAGTCTTTGTATTGGAGATTATATAATTTATATGTAACCCTTTTCTGTGGACAGAGCTAGAAAATGTATGTATGTATATATACACATATATACACACTTACATGTTTGTGCATACACAGTTGTCCCTCTGTATCCGCAGGACCCCCTGCAGATACCAAAATCCTAGTCCCTTACATAAATTGGCATAGAATTAGCATATAACCTGTATGCATACAGGCTACAGCAGGGTATGTCTACATATCACTTCATTTGCGTGGAGTCAGCCTAGTCCTTAGCATGTGACAAATTCAAGTTTTGATTTTTGGAACTTTCTAAAAAATTTCCCCCCAAATAATTTTGACCTGCAGTTGATTGAATCTGCAGTTGTGACACCGTGGATACAGAGAACCAACGGTATCTATTTTAGAAATCAAGAGTTCACAAAGATATCATCAATTGCCCTCCGTCCCTACAGGGTTCTTTCTTTCCCTCTACAGTCCATATTTTTATGTCCCTCTTTACACATTTGCTTAATCCTAGAATACATCTAAAATAGTTCTGATTTGCTTTGCCCATACATCTGTAAGAAATAAACCTACTAAACAGAATTCAGGATTTGTTTACTACCCCCCCCCCAAAAAAAAACAACAACAACAACAACAACCCTCAACTGAGATATTTAGTAAAATTTTGTGTTCAAAAGTTACTCAGATTAGTTTTTCTTTTTTAAACCCCCTCTAGTGTGGGTTTGGTATTCATTTGAAATGCAGGTGGGGTCATTTTTAGTTTACTTTTAACATTTAGTTACCCCCCTCGCATCCTGGTTTGATTTTATTTTGAATATGTAGAGTATCAACATGCTTCCAAAAGTCAAAACTATACAAAAGGGCATATTCTGAAGAAGTGTAGCACATTCCTGAGTCCCTTCCACCCTGCTCTCATCATTTATAGGTAACCAACTTCGTTGCTTTTTGGTTTATTTGTCCTGTGTTTCTTTTTGTAAAGATAGTAGGTTGTGTATGTTTTCTTATTTCCCTTCTTTTATACAGATGTTAACAAACTATATGCTCTTCTGCACTGTGATTTTTTTTCATTTATTGTGTCCTGGAAAAATCACTTCATACCAGTTTATACATGTGTTTATACATGGTTTTCAACCAATCTTCTATACTTGAGGACATTTATTTTCCAATAATGCTCCATTCATTAACCTTGTGCACATGTATTTTACATTATTGAAAATATATCTTCAGGATAAATCCCCAGCAGTAGGATTGCTCGGTGTATTAGACAACTTGGGCTGCTATAACAGAATACCATAGACAGAGTGGCTTAACATTTCAATTTATGTTTACCTTACAAAACAACAGATTTATTTTCTCACAATTCTGGAGGTTAGAAGTCAAGGTCAAGGTACTGTCTGTGTTGGTTTTTGGTGAGACCTTTTTAAAATTATTTTTATTTTTTAAGAGAGAATATATTTTAAAAAACATATTTTTATTGATTTCAGAGAGGAAGAGAGTGGGAGAGAGAAACATCAATGATGAGAATCATTTATTGGCTGCCTCTGCATGCCCCCTACTGGGGATTGAGCCCGCAACTTGGGCATGTGCCCTTGACCGGAATCGAACCCAGGACCTTTTAGTCCACAGGCCGACGCTCTATCCACGGAACCAAACCAGTTAGCACTTTGAAAAAAGTTTTATGAAAAAAGTTTTATTTTTTCTTTTCTTTTTTTTTTTTTTTAATATATTCCATTGATTATTTTTTTTTAGAGAGAGGAAGGGAAAGGGTTAGAGAGTTAGAAACATGGATGAGAGAGAAACATCGATCAGGGGCCTCCTGCACACCCCTCACTGGGGATGTGTCCTCAACCAAGGTACATGCCCTTGACCAGAATTGAACCTGGGACCCTTCAGTCTGCAGGCCAACGCTCTATCCACTGAGCCAAACCGGTTAGGGCAAAAGTTTTATTTTTCAGTTAGTGTTTACATTCCATATTATTTTATATTAGTTTCAGGTGTACAGCACAGTGGTTAAACAAGCATATATTAGTAATTTACAAAGTAAGTCCCTGATATTTCAAGTACTCACCTGGCACCTTACATAATTATTATACTATTATTTACTATATTCCCTATGCTGTATTTAACACCCCCATGACTCTTCTGTAACTACCAATTTGTACTTCTTAATCCATTCACCTTTTTCACCCATTCCCTAACCCCACACCCCTCTGGCAACCATCAGTCTGTTCTCTGTATCTATAAGTCTGTTTCTGTTTTGTTTGTTTATTTATGTTGCTCCTTAGATTCCACATGTAAGTGAAATCATATGGTATTTGAAGAGATGATCACTCTTAAACTATTCCATGAATAGCTCTCAGCAGGTTGAGTTATAGGTAACAACTTGCTTCAGGATTGCTTGGATGCTCTTAAAAAGAAAAGGATACACACACATATTTATGTTTAACAGCTTTGTTGGGGTATAGTTTACATACCACAAAAATACACCCATCTTAAGTGTACAATTCAATCATTGTCCCAGCATCATTTGTTGAAGAGACTCTCCTTTCTCCATTAAATTGTCTTGGCATCTTGGTTATAATTAGTTAATTATATATAAATGTGTGGGTTTATGTCTGGACTCTAAATTTTATTCCTACCACTTGCTTTTGTTTGGGCTGAGTTTCTTGTTTTTCTCCCTTTTATAACAGGATCATGGAGTTGATAGCACCATTTTCCAGAATCCCAAAAAACTTCACCTAACTATTGGGATGTTGGTACTTTTAAGTGAGCAAGAGATCCAGCAGACATGTGAGATGCTAAAGCAGTGTAAAGAGGAATTCATTGAGTGAGTAATCCACGGGAGTGGGGAAGGGTGGTCACCTGTTCTGGGTTTTTTGGGGTATCAAAGACTTGGTTTTGGACTAGAGAGCTGGGTTACATGGGAATGGGTTTGTTGACTCACCCATTTGTAACACTTCACATTGAACCGTTGTCTGAAAGGCTTAAAATGTACTTAAAGCATATATTTACAAATTTTTATGGAAAACCTTTACCTTAAATTATACTCGTTCAGTAGGCAAATTTTGTTTTTTTAATAGGACATGTCATTATTTTCTCCAAAAGGAAATTCTCTTCATTATCCATCAAAGAGTATAGACTACTATGTTAGTTTTCTGTATTACTCTAAGGTTGGTGGTTTAAAACAATATAATGTACTATATAGTTCTGTGGGGAGAAGTCTGATATGGGCTTTACTGGGCTAAAATCAAGGTGTGCAGGTTGTGTTCCTTTCTGGAGGCTCTAGGGAAGAATCTGTTTCCTTGCCTTTCAAGTCCAGCTTCTAGCGGCCACACACATTCCTTGGCTAGTAGTCCCTTCCTCCGTATTCAACACTAGCAGCATTGACCCTTCTTCTGTTGTCACACCTCTCTCTCTGACCACAGCAGGGAAAGGTTTCTGCTTCTAAGGACTCTCATGATTTGATTGAGTCCATCCAGATAATCCAGGATAATCTCTCCCTCTCAAACTCCAGAACCTAAATCACATCTGTCAAAGTCTCTGCCATATAAGACAGCGAATTTACAGATTCCAGATAGTAGGATGTGGGCATCTTTGGAGAGCCATTATTCTGCTTCCCATGGTAATTCACTATAACTCAGTGATGGCGAACCTATGACACGTGTGTCAGAGGTGACACGCGAACTCATTTTTTTGGTTGATTTTTCTTTGTTAAATGGCATTTAAATATATAAAATAAATATCAAAAATATAAATCTTTGTTTTACTATGGTTGCAAATATCAAAAAATTTCTATATGTGACACGGCACCAGAGTTAAGTTAGGGTTTTTCAAAATGCTGACACACCGAGCTCAAAAGGTTCACCATCACTGCTATAACTTGATTCTCTAGGAAAGTCTTCATTGTATTTCAGAAATGCAGACTTTAATTTTCTTTTTTTAATATAGGTAATTTTGTGTAAATCAGTGTGAGGATACTAAAAGACCATCCAAGCAAATGTTTTTGGCTCAGAGAAAACATTGCAGAGTTGTTATTCTTTTTACTGTAAAATTTTAATTTACACATACATCAACCCAAGGAACACAACCCTGCCACACCTTGATTTTAGCCCAGTAAAACCCATATCAACTTTATTTCAAAGAAGCATCTCTTCCCACCTCTCACTTTACTCCTTTTACTTAGGATTGCTGAAGAACAAGAGAAATTTGAAAACTGACTCACTTGAGCATTGAGGAAGGCAACCGATCCATGTCTGTCTGTCTGTCTGTCTCTCTCTCTTCCTCTCTCTCTCTCTCTCTTTCTCTCTCTCTCTTTCTCCCCACACACACCCCCCCCCCCCCTTGGGTGAGGATTAAAAAAAAAGAAAGGAACAAAACTGGCTCACTTGAATAGTTTTTAAAAATTTGTGACAATAAAAAAAAAATTTGTGACAATATTCAGGTTCCATACTATTGTATCATTGCCTTGTAGAAATGGGTTATCTGGTTCATGGGGTGAAACAAGGTAAAAAAATTAAAAATTTTCCTCTAGTTATGTTGTATATAAAACTTTAATACAATGACTTAATTTGTGGGCCTCTTCTCCTTTTCCATTGTTTTGAAGACAAAATACTGTTTTTGAGCAAAATCATAAGCTGATTGGGTTTACAGTCTGTTTATTCTTTCTGAATCTCAAATAGCAAATAATACTTTTGTCTTGTTTGTTCGGTAAGGAACATAACTGTCTATTCTCAATCTTACCTGAAACTCAGAATAATTTGATGTTTGTATTTAGGAATTTATAACTTTCCTTGCAAAAAAAGAAAACTTTATGCTTTACCTTACAAAGCAGAGCAATTTTACCTGGTTTAAGAATGAGTTCTGATACCTTAACTTATACCCTGGTTACTTTTTGCTAAACAAAACTGAAAGCAGCTGCATTTTCTTGGCTACCATTGGAAGAATCCTGTAAAAAATTTTTTAAGGTGGATAAAATGTTTGTTTAGAGAAGTATTTTTTTAACCTTATGAAAAATCACTTCACCATGTGTGAGAACGTAGCCATCTGCAATCCAGAGAATTCTCACCAAATCGGCAGAACCTTTATCTTGACTTCCCAGCCTCCATATCTGTGAGAATAAATGTCTGTTGTTTCAGCCACCAAGTGTCTGGTATTTTGATGACAGCCTGAGCAGATTAAGATATTGCAGCAGCTGTGTTTTCCTCACTGAACCAATTTTTTACTTTTTGCCTATTGTTCCTGATTATATGGCACTGAATCTGATTGTCTCAGAATCCCGGAGTTTCCACAAGACACCAAACACTCATTAAATAAACTTTCTTCTTAAATGAAAAAAAAATGGGGTCACAGGTTTTTAATCACTGGGGTTTTATCCTGAGCTATGTGAGGATTTAGCTGAGTTCCTCTTTTTATGTCTCTTGCTGCCTTTTGTGACTGAAGGCCAAATCTAAGCCCTTTAAGCATGTTGGGGTTGATGTGCATAGGCAATGAAGATCAGCCTTAATAGTTCCTAAGAATTTTTGACATGACAGGATGAAAACAGTAATTGTAGTTTTTCAAATTCAGCAACGCTTTTGAAATAGGACAAAGTTACCCTGCCAAAAATCTGCAATGCAGGCAAAAAATTTTGAACATGCTCTTTTCAAGAAGCTGGAAAGATTTGAAATCAGCAAGTAAAACAAGCCTCTCCGACCCTCTTCTCCCCCACGGTTCCCTCTGCCACACACACTTGTTTAGAAAGTATACAATGCAAAATTAATTTATTTGAGAGGGAGGACGAGGATCAGAATTGGTTGTTTGGATTGGTTAGAAGTGCTTTGTTCTCATAAAAGGAAGAAATATCTCTTTAAAAAAAAGCTTATATTACAGGTCTAGTAAATAAAATGTATCATCTAACCTTTTTTTTCTTTATTTTTGCTCTTTGATGTTAGCCTTTATACTTCAGTAAACAATGACATTTCTAAGCTGTAGAGATCTCAAATTAAAATATAAAAAATAAAAACATTGAAAATGAATACATCAGTGTATCATTTGCTGTAGTTTAATTTGATGGCTTTTAAAATTAAAGTATTAAATATATATGGTTATATTGGAATTTAATTAAAACTGTGGTACTGTATAGGTATTTTAAAGAAATGGATGGTTGAATATTTTTTTAAATTTGGTGGTAGTTTGAGTTTAAGGATGCTACTTGATGAGAAACAACTTTGATTTTAATTGTTAGGCTAAAGATTCGTGTAGCTATTTAGAATTATTCACAGTGAATTATTTACAGTGTCCAGGAAACACTGAAGCTCTGAATGTGTCCCTTGTGACTTTTCTTTGTGAGATATAGAGCGCAAACAGTGCAATGGCTCTGAGTATATAGTCCAACAAATAGGCAGCATTCTGTAGCTCCAGCGTCACTCTACTTGTTCCTAAGTGTTCCCAGTAGGCCTGAGGTTAAACCAAATAAGTTAAAAAGGGAGAAGAATGAGGAGAGAAGAGGAAAAATACCCATGGGCAAATGTTAGTTTCTAATTATTGCCTCAGATGTCACTGAATTGAAAAATGTGCTCACTGGTATTCCAGGTGGAATAGTTTGGTCACCAAGACCAAGAGCATTTATCAGGCAAACCATTGGATTTCTCTCCTGTTCTTTAATCTCCCTCTTGATAAATCCTAGGGATAGGTTGAAAGAGTTTCAATTTCTACTCATAAGGCAGGCTGTAGATCCTGTTTCATTTTTTTTTGTTTTTGTTCTTGGTATCTCTTCTCATTCCAAGGATTTGAGATCCTTTATAGTGAGGACATATATACAAAAGAAATGTTAAAGTCAGAGAGCTCAGAAACCATAGAGGTGAAATGGGGAGAAAATTCTACCTGAAAACCAAGGTAAGATAACTGTACTTGAGCATTAAAATTTAATGCTGTTTTTGAGCACCAGTATACTTGAACTAAATTCCAGAAAGAAACACAGCAGTTATTATAGTTCTTTTTTTTTTTTTAATCCTCACACGAGGATATTTTTCCATTGATTTTTATAGAGAGTGGAAGAGAGGAGGAAAGACAGAGAGGAATATTGATGTGAGAGAAACACAGCTAGCAATTGCCTCCTGCACATGCCCTGACCAGGGCCCAGGCCTGAGAGAAGCCTGTAACCAACTGCACATGCCCTTGACTGCAATCTAATCCAGGAACCTTCAGTCTGCAGGCCAATGCTCTATCCACTGAGCCAAACCTGCTAGGGCTATAGTTCTTATCTGATAAAAAGGAGCATAGCAACTTTTTAGGAGAGAATTTTTTTTCTGGTTCTAAAGTCAAGAGAAAAACTAGTTGCATAAATCTTAACATAAATAACCCAGAATGATGATAAGCATTATTTTTAACAGTTTTCTAGAAGATAAAAGAACATTGTTTTATCTTCTTTTTGTTGTTTTATCATTGCTTTTTCTTGTATTGACCTTTAGAAGTTGAGGACATAATCTTATATAAAAGGCTAATATGAAAAGTGTCCCCTTGGGAGTTCGACCCGGAGTTCAATCGCTTGCTATGACATGTGCTGACCACCTGGGGGTGGCATGGAATGAAGGAAGGCCCCGGCTGGCAGCCTGCAGCCAGGCAAGGAAGGCCCTGGCCAGCGGCCGGCAGCTGGAAGGAAGGCCCCTAATTGGTGGCCAGGCCTAGGTACCCTACCCATGCATGAATTTCATGCACCAGGCCTCTAGTCTATACTAATAATAGAGGAATATGCAAATTGTCCGGGACGCTGTCACAGTAACATTTGGATGCTGACCAGGCTGGCTGGGGGGCAGTGAAGGGCAGCCAGTCTAGCAGGAGGGGGAAGTTGGGGGCAACCAGCACAGCGGGGGGCAGTTGGGGGTGACCAGGCCAGGAGAGGGGGATAGTTGGGGGCGGCCAGGCCAGCAGGGGGGCAGTTGGGGGCGACCAGGCCAGCAGAGGGGACAGTAAGGAGTGACCAGGCCGGCAGGGGTTGGCAGTTAGGGGCGACCAGGCTGGCGGAGGGGAGCAGTAAGCGGTGACCAGGCCAGCGGGGGGGACAGTTAGGGGTGACCAGGCCGGCAGGAGGGGCAGTTAGGGGTGATCAGGCCGACAGGCAAAGGTGGTTAGGGGTGATCAGGCTGGTGGGGGGGCACTTAGGGGTGATCAGGCAGGCAGGCAGGTGAGCAGTTAGGAGCTAGCAGTCCCGGATTGTGAGTTGGACATCCCCTGAGGGGTCCCAGATTGGAGAGGGTGCAGGCTGGGCTGAGGGGACCCCTCACCCATGCGTGAATTTCATGCATCAGGCCTCTAGTATTAAATATTAATAACCTAGTGAGGACATTTTAGTGGGAAACTAAACTAAAGATATGGTGCTTTCTGGTGATCTGACTGTGCAGGGTTAAAGCTGAAAAATGTAGAGGAATGTATGGTTAGTATTAAACTGTTTTAAGAAAAAGAAGTTTTGTTGACTGCAGTTTGATAGGATTAAATGGCAGTCTTTCATTTGAATTCTTTGACTATTACTTGGAATGGAGATACACTGGATTATTGATTGAAACTACAAGCCTCAGATAATAGTTCAGAGATTGGCTTGTGTTTCTGGAATATCCCACTTATTAGAGGTACTTATAGGATACTTATGATCAAGGCTGTCATTTTTCTCTTTCAAATATCTGTCTAGAATAGTTCAATTATTTAGTTTCTTATTGAGATAAATTCTGGTCTTATGTAATAATATGGCCTTGAAGTTTTAAATGAATCTTTACCATTGGGATTCCTAGACTACAAATAGTGTTTTATGGCTTTAATTCAATATCATCAAGAGAACTTTTTTGTTTTGCCTTTTGGAATTGTCTTTTGGTGCATCCTAGCAGCCTTTTGTCTTTGAGTCAGTACCACATTTTATTCAATAATAATATCACATGTGTCCACATTCTTCTCAAAATTGTCTAGAACAGCTTCTCCTTTTATAGTAGAACATCCAGTCAGTGTTTATCAGAGATTTATGGAGTACCTATTTTATGTAAGGCACTGTGCCAGGTGCTGGAGATATAGGAGTGGACAAGATGGATGGAGTCCCTGGCCTCCTGGGCTTGGAGAAGGCTGCGTGTGGTGAGCTGATTTTTAGTTGGGTTTTAGTCTGGCACAGGAAGGCCTTCTCTTGTTGAAGTATAAGTCTACTTAAGGGTCTGGGAAAAGCCGAAACCGGTTTGGCTCAGTGGATAGAGCGTCGGCCTGCGGACTGAAAGGTTCCGGGTTCGATTCCGGTCAAGGGCATGTACCTGGGTTGCGGGCACATCCCCAGTAGGAGATGTGCAGGAGGCAGCTGGTCGATGTTTCTCTCTCATCGATGTTTCTGACTCTCTATCTCTCTCCCTTCCTCTCTGTAAAAAATCAATAAAATATATTTTTAAAAAAAAGGGTCTGGGAAAAAAGCAGGGTGGTGGGCTTCACTTAGCATGAAAGTAATACATGTTAGTTTAATGAGTTAAGACAAATGTAACCACGCCCAAATCAAGATGTAGAACATTGCCATCACCTCATGAAGTTCCTTTGTGCTTCATCCTTTTCCAGTAAATTCACTTATTTAAGGAGTAACTACTGTTCTGATTTCTATTACCATAGGTTAATCTGGCTTGTCCTTTAATGTCATATATATTGAATCATCCTATCTAACAAAAGGGTAATATGCAAATTAACCATCACTCTGTCACAAAGATGGCGGCACCCATAGCCACAAGATGGCAGCACCCAGTCCCCTCAGCCCCACCAGAGTACCCCAGTCCTTGGGGGGCGACCGCTGAGAGCGGGAAGCGTGAGCAGCTTGGTGGAATGCTTGCTTTGTCACCGTGGCGATGAGGCAAGCATTCCACTCCGGCTGCGGAGGGCCTCTGGGCCACGGAGAGCCTCTGGGCAGCGGGCCCGGAGTGGCCAGGCTCCGCAGAGAGCAGAGAACCATGGGGAGTGGGCCTAAGCCGTCAGGGCTCCCACATTGGAGAGGGCTCTCTTGAGGGCTCCCGGATTGGAGAGGGTGCAGGTCGGGCTGAGGGACCCACTCCTGTGCTGGAATTTCATGCACCTGGCCTCTAGTTTGGTATATAAACTTTTTGTGTTTGACTTCTTATGCATATTTTTTAAAATGTTAACTTTTTAATAGAGAGTACATTTACATGGTTCAAAAATTTAAAGGTACAAAGGATAAGCATTGAAGAGTTTTCTGCCCACTTCTTCCCATTGTTATCCCATCAAGCACCCTGCTATACTCTCTAAAGGCAACAGATGTTAGCAATGTCTTTGTTTATTTACAGAGATTTTACGTATGTACAAGAAATATATATGTGTGTATATATATACTAGAGGCTTGGTGCACGAAATTTGTGCAGGAGGGGGCATCCCTCAGCCCGACCTGCACCCTCTCCAGTCCAGGACCCCTTGGGGGATGTCCGACTTCCGGTTTAGCTGTCTGGTCTAATTAGCATATTACGCTTTTATTAGTACAGAGTTTCTTATCCCCATCTTTTTCATAAATAGTAGTATATACATTGATGTGTACTTTTTAAAAAATATATATTTTTATTGATTTCAGAGAGGAAGGGAGAGGGGAGAGAGAGAGATAGAAGCATCAATGATGAGATAGAATCATTGATTGTCTGCCTCCTGCACACCCCCTACTGGGGATCGAGCCTATAACCCAGGCATGTGCCCTTGACTGGAATCAAACCTGGGACCCTTCAGTCTGCAGGCCGATGCTCTATCCACTGAACCAAACCAGCTAGGGCCTTTTTTAAAACTTAAAATATAATCATTATGTATCAGTACCTGAAAAGCTTCCTTAGCTTGGAATGGCTTATTTATTGCTCATAGTATTTTGATTTATGTAATCAGTCCTATGTTATTGGACATTTAGCCTGTTGCCAGTCTTTTGCTACTCCAAACAATGCATCAGTCAAAACCCTATTGCATCATATCAGGAGGCACATATTGTTTGGTCTTTTCTTTTTTGTGTGTATGATAAGCTTGATCAGTCAATTTGAGAGTGATCAGCCTGATCCATTGTTTAGAGGGGTCTCTTTATATTTTCTCCAGCCTTTTGTCTAAGTTTTAGCATCCATTGGTGAGCTTGCATAGATCCATTGTTTTATCTGGACTTGCAAAATGGTGATACTCTAATACCGTCATTACTTCTGCATTTATCAGTTGGAATTCTGTAAAGGACTGTTCTTTATCAGCTATCATTGCATATGTAGCTGAATTCATAATTATTTCATTAGGGTTAGTTCCTATAAATTGAGTTGACTGGGCAAAGGGTTTCTTTTATTGAAGATTTTTTAATAAATATTGTCAAATTGCACTTAAAGATGTGCTGTTAGCTTTTACACCTCCATCATTGTTATATGAGTGAAATACTGTGCAACTTATAGAAACAATGATGTAAAACCTCAGAGATGGTCAACACATCAGTTGTCTTTGTCAATCAGAACTATCATTGCTTGCCTTTTTCTTAGAGTGCTTTTTAGTGTGACTTTGGAAATACTAGTGTTTCTAGTCTGTGTGCATTAAATATGTATTAATTTTGAAATTAGAAGGATGGTTAAATAATGTTAGTAAAAAAAACCAACAACTTAATTTTTGTAGTTTGACTATGTATATTAACCATGTTTTAAAATATATAAGTAAATAATTATAAAAATCTAATGGTTTTTCCTTTGCAGCGACATTTCTGGGGGCAAACCCCTAGAAGTAGAGATGGAAGGGATAGAATACATGAACGATGATCCTGGCATGGTGGATGTTCTTTATGCCAAAGTTCATATGAAAGATGGCTCCAACAGGTATGTTTCTGGAACACTTCTTTGTTTTAGTCAAGAGCTGCCTAAAAGCATCCCTGGAAGTTCAACTACTTTTGATTCCTTTTCTTTAAGATCTTATTATTGCAAAGAGTGTGTTAATTCTTCTTTTTTTAACAGAGAGCTGGTAAGTTGAAAGAGGAATTTGTTGTAGGAAAAAGTATTTTAGTCTGATAATTATGAAATTACTTGGATGGTAGATATTGACAGTAGCAATCTAGTTTTTATGGAAATCAGTGCTTCCTTCATGCATTCCAGGATAATAAGAGGCAGGGAGGGTGGCATTTTAGGTTGTTAGTTACAGAAGTGAAATAATGCAGATGTAGTGAATACCCAGGCAAAATGGGGATAATAACTATATAAATTTCATAAGATTATTAGGATTGAATTAATCTATATAAAATGCTTTAAGATAGTGGTTGGCATATATACTCACTCATCAAAACATCCATCAACAAATGTTTAACCTTGGCTGTTGTGGCTCAGTTTGTTGGAGTGTAGTCCGGTACACTGAAAGGTGGTGGGTTCAATCCCTAGTCAAGGCATGATTGGGAAGGCAACTGATAAATATTTCTCTCTCATATCGATGTTTCTTTTTCTTTTTCCTTCTCTCTAAAATAAATAAGCATGTCCTTGGGTGAGGATTAAAAAAAAGTTTATGCCCTAGCGGGTTTGGCTCAGTGGATAGAGCATGGCCTGTGGACTGAAGGGTCCCGGGTTCAATTCTGGTCAGTGGCACATGTTCAGGTTGTAGACTTGATCTCCAGTAGGGGATGTGTAGGAGGCAGCCAATCAATGATTCTCTCTCATCATTGATGTTTCTATCTCTCCCTCTCCCTGCCTCTCTGAAATCTATAAAAAAATATTTTTAAAAAAGTACTATTTTTTATTTCTGTTTACTACCACACCTGCAATCCAAGCTATTTCTGAGGCTATACTAGGCATCCAAAGCCATTGCAGGTCTTTGGTGAGCAGAGGAACCCAACTTGAATTAGTTTTTTGTGTGTGATCTTTTCATTAAGGTAACTTAGAACAGAGCTCACACTGAACCTGAAACCGTCTAGAGCAGTGATGGCGAACCTTTTGAGCTCGGTGTGTCAGCATTTTGAAAAACCCTAACTTAACTCTGGTGCCGTGTCACATATAGAAATTTTTTGATATTTGCAAACATAGTAAAACAAAGATGTATATTTTTGATATTTATTTTATATATTTAAATGCCATTTAACAAAGAAAAATCAACCAAAAAAATGAGTTCGAGTGTCACCTCTGACACCTGTGTCATAGGTTCGCCATCACTGGTCTAGAGATGTGGCTTCTTTCATTCTGCATAATGTCTTCAAGATTAATTCATGTTGTAGCAAGTATCAATACTTCATTTCCTTTTTTTAATATATAGTTTTTAAAAAACTTATTTCAGAGAGGAAGGGAGAAGGAGAGACAGATAGTAAGCATCAATGATGAGAGAGAATCATTGATCTGTTGCCTCCTGCATGCTCCCCCTTGGGAATTGAGCTTGCAACCCAGGCACGTGCCCACACAGGGAATCGAACCTTGACCTTCTGGTTCATAGGTTGATGTTCAACCTCTGAGCTAAGCTGACCAGGCAATAGTTCATTTCTTTTTATGGCTGAGTAATATTTCATTGTGTGGAAATACTTTTGTTCATTACTTGATAGACATTTGGGTTGTTTCTACCTTTTGGCTATTTAAATAGAACTGTTTTCAATTCTTTTGGGCTGACTCACTTTTTAAATGATTAAAGTCATGGTTTTAATTCCCTTGATTAACCTTGTAATTTTATAGGGGATCATAGTCACTCAGTCTGACTGCTGTTAATTTGTTTTGTTATCCTCTGTTATGGGATTTACTTAATTTTTGTCAGTACTAGTATAAACTTTATTGTTGTAAGACTAATATCTGTGATAGTCTCATAGACATGCAGTTAACAGGAAGCTATATGAAAAATATACATGGAATTACAGTGTTTCATTAAATAAACTAGTGAATATTTCCTAATGTAGGCCTTCAAGTCTGTTTTTTATTTTTATTTTTCCCCTCTTCTTCCCTCCCTCTCCCACCCATTCCCCTTCCCCACCCTCTCCCTTCCCAGCCCCCTCCTTTCCCTGCCTCCTCCCCATCTTTCCTCCCTCTCCTCTCCTCTCCCCTGCTCAACCACTCTGCTTCACCCTTTATTTGGCCCCCACTTTGCAGGCCACCCTACTCTCCTGTACCGAACCCTGGTTCTTATCTCTGTCCCCTAGGCCAGTATAGAAACTGGAACAGAATGTTCCCGTGTCTCTGGGCCTCCTCTCTGCCTAGCTTGGTTAAGGACCTAAGTTGAGACTCCCCTGTAAGGATTCTGGCTTGTCTCTGAAAACAGAGCCCTGGACGGTCCTCACTTGTCCTTTCCCTGAACACTTCTGAGGCGGCAGCTCAGAGGGGCGGCTCAGAGGGGCGGCTTTTCCCGGCTGCTCTTCAGGTCTGTTTAGCATACATGTCATAGACTCTATAGTTTAACCCTATTCTTGTTGGCCCCCAGAGAAAAAAAGAGTGGTCACTGAAAAAGGATGATAAAATCATTGCCTTGAGTGTTCCCAATGGATGTTTACCTTTTGCTTTTAATAGTTAGACCCTTAGTTCTATGGAAGGTCTTCAAGTGTAGAGAATTAATAGGTTCTTGAGATTTGTTAACCTAAAAATCAAAGTGAGGTTCAATAAGCATTTTTTTGAGATCCAAAAGAAGAGCTATTTGGGAAGCACTGATTCAGGCAGAAACCCGAATAGTGTTCCAGATAAGGAAGGCAAGGGAAAGGATAACAATTACAGCAATTACGTCAGTAGAAGGAAGACATTCTGTAGGTGCAGATAAGCTAACATAGTGATATTAATTCTAAAGAATGTTTAATTTTCAGTCCAGTAGTTATAATATATGCTTTCTTGTTATCTTTGCAAATAGTTGTTGAGGGTGTAATGTTGCTTTAGGCTCACTCCAAAGGTTATTTTGCAGTTTTAACATTCCAGAGGTTTGAGGAGTAAGATGTGCAAGGCAATTCCTCTGGATGGTGGTAGCTCTGACTCCGTTTTAAAGTGGCTCCATTTATATTATACTAGAGGCCTGGTGCACAGAAATTTGTGCACTTAGGGCAGGGGGTTGTCCCTTAACCTAGCCTGCGCCCTCTCACAGTCCAGGACCCCTCAGGGGATGTCCACCTGCTGGCTTAGGCCCACTCCCCGGGGAATAGGGCCTAAATTTGCAGTCAGACATCCCTCTGGCAGCCTGGGAGCCCTCGGGGAATGTTTGACTGCAGCTTAGGCCCACTCCCCACCAGTCGGACATCCTTAGCGTTGCTGAGGCGGCAGAAGAGGCTCCCACCACTGCCACTGTGCTTGTAGCTGTCAGTCCAGCTTGTGGCTGAGCGGAGCTCCCAACATGGGAGCGCACTGACCACCAGGAGGCAGCTCCTACATTGAGCGTCTGCCCCATGGTGGTCAGTGCGTGTCATAGCGACTGGTTGTTCCCAGTCATTCTGCTGTTAGGGTCAATTTGCATATTACCCTTTTATTATATAGGACTTTTTTTTACAGATTGGAAGGAAAATAAGTGCTATAAAAGTTAAATGTCTTTTGAAGACAGTGCTCAGACATAATTTGTACCCACATTAATGGAAGGCTAAGGGCTCAGAAGGTTGAAAACACCCTTTATTTTTTCTACAGATCCAGCCCTTACAAATTTTGCACACTTCCTGTTGTCAAGGCCTTGTAAGTTAAAAGGTCTCGTGAAATGTTTGTTCAGTGAATTGTTATCAATGAACATTTTGGAGTAATTCCCATCTCTCTTTCCCATTTTCTCTTTTCTATTGCTCATCCCTCCTTCATAAGAGTCACGTTTATGTTACTTAAAAAAGATTTATAGCCCTAACCGGTTTGACTCAGTGGATAGAGCGTCGGCCTGCAGACTCAAGGGTCCCAGGTTCGATTCCGGTCAAGGGCATGTACCTTGGTTGCGGGCACATCCCCAGTAGGGGGCGTGCAAGAGGCAGCTGATCAATGTTTCTCTCTCATCGATGTTTCTAACTCTCTATCCCGCTCCCCTCCTCTCTATAAAAAATCAATAAAATATATTTAAAAAAAAGATTTATAAATTCCCCTCCCCAGATCTATAGTGTCTGAGGGACTTGTACACCTCTTATTTAATTCAGTATTAAAACTATTCAAATGCCTTCTTTGTGCAAAGTATTTTGCAAGGCCATATAAATTGATACAGAATTGAGTAAGACATGACCCCGCTTTTAAGAAATGTTTCAGTCTTTTGCATTTCTTTATGTGAAGAGACACAGCAAAATATAAGAGGCATGAGGGAGAGACCATGTTGTAATAAAAATACAAACACTCAACTTTCTTTGAGTGCTTTCATATATTTTAAGTAAAAGATTCCCTTAAAATGATTTACTGTGAAGTGCCTGATCAGATTTTTCCTTTAGAAACAGCTGGGACAGTGTAGCTACACTTATTGATGCATCCTTGGGTTTGGTAAAGCATGACTGGATAAGGCGTTTGTGTTCAACCTTTTACTCATTACTTAGTAGTCTGCTATTGCTAAGACTTAATTGTTGAACAAAGTGGCTATTCTGTTCTGTTCTGTTACTCTCTCAAGACTCCACTCTTGCCCCTCAGAAGAATGGCTTTCTCACACTTTACTGAGCACATGAAGCTAGTTCATCAAGCTCCTTACTTTTTCCTTCACAACCTACCTATTTTCATCATACCCACCCCACTCAATTTCACCTTCTTTCTGAAGAATGGCACACATTATTTTTGATGAGGCTAATTCCTTTACTTAGTCTCCTTCCTAACAAGAAGGAATGACCCCATCCCTTCTTATCTCCTCAGGGACCTAGCACCATCCGTTATTTTACCCTAAAGGACATTTCTAGCCCCTTTTCCCGTAGGTACTTTTCTAATGCCCTGTATGTGAGGTGCAA